GCAGGTGGATCCTGCGCACATTATGGTTTGAGATGTGCTGGTTCAGGTGACCTTTAACCCCGAGAATGGTTTGCTAGACAGTTTTTGGACCAGTCAGCTTCTCAGGATACATCTGCCTGCACACAAAGCATCCGAGCCTGGGAGTCAGGCAGGCATAAATTTGAACCTCTGCTTCACCACTTACCAGTCCTCGTACAAGTTACTTAACCTCTCTGAGCCTATTATTCCACATGCAAAATGGGAGTAATGATGCCCGCTTCATAGGGTGTCTTGAGCATTAGGATAATGCACACAGAATGCCCAGCACTCGGCAGGTGGTCGGTTGGTGGTCCCTGCTGTTACAGCTCCTGGCCATCCAGCCCCCTGGCCTCTGGCTGAGGGCCAGGAAGGGCTATTTGTTCCCACTGTTCTTCCACCTTCCTCCTCGTCTTCAGCCCCGGCCCAGATCCCACAGCCTGACTCTGGTTCCCCAACTCCTGGCTCTGGATGCTGGGTAGGGCCCCCACCCCAGCTCCCAGGCGGCTGCACTGTGTCTCCTGGAGCCAAAGGGATAGCTGGTGGCTTCTGCTCAGCACCAGGAATGGTGTTCCTCTACCCTGGACTTCTGTGGGCCTAGAAGGGAACCAGCTGGTGGGTACAGAACAAGCCCTTGCCCACCTCCTTCTGGCCTTCCCTGGGTTCAGTGAGGGAAGTGGGAGTGGTGGCCATCGGGTCAGCAGAATTGTAGAGCTGTCCCTGGTGTGGGCTGGTGCCCTCGGGCAGGCACCCTGGCACAGGGGCCTGCTTTCTTCTGAGGGGGGAACTCTTGGTCTCCAAAGTTTACCTGCTTTAAGTTTCTTTTTAGTCAGAGGTTTTTCTTACCCTGCTTCCCACCTCCAAGTTCCATCAACCCAAACTCCCAGGGGCCTCCACTGGCGGCCTAGAGCTCTCCTTGGTGCTGAGTAGACTCAATTCTGGCCATGCCGCTGGCTGTAGAGGGGCCCTGGTGCTTATTGGGGCTCCCCCCTACCCCCAGGCCTGCCCCAGTGGACTCTCAATAAACACTAGCTGAGGCGGTGACCGTGGTGTGAACTGAATTCGCTTGAGGGGCCACTCGGGCTGCAGAAGCAGCTGGTGAAGTGGGAAGAGACTCTGGGTGCAGGTGTCCTGGGTTCTGGTCCAGACTCTGCCCTGAATTTGCTTTGGGACCTCAGCAACGTCATTTCCTCTCTCGGGGCCTCAGTTTTCCATGGGTGACATGAGCTGTTTGGATTAACAGCAGTAAGAGTTCTGTAAATATTTTTTGAAACAAATACACGTACCCCTGAGGACCAATTTGGCTCCAACACTCTAATTCCCCTGCCTCTCCCCACTCCTCGCTGCCTCCCCTGAGCTTGTCAATATTTTCTCTGCCTGGGCCTTGGTTTCCCCATCTGCACAATGCGGGGGGTTATCTCTGGCCCGCTCATTCAGAGACAGTGGGAGGACCAAAGGGGATGGTTCCAGGGATGCAGATACAGTGGCTAAGAGCTTGGGCTCTAGAGGCCGACTGACTGGAGTTTGAGACTGACCATCTGTGTGATCTTGGGCAGCTTACCTAACCTCTCTGGGTCTGTAAGTGAAAATGAAGATAATAATAGTACCTACCTCCTAGGGTTGTTGTGAGGGTCAACTGAGACCATCCAGGTAAGCACCTTGTACACAGTAAATACCTAATAAATGGTAGCTGTTATTATTATTTATTATTAGAATCATCACACCTCTGTTTCTGCTATAGGAGATCCTTTCCCCGTCTAATTCATTCTCGTCACAGGCCCAGTCCACATGGCCTGCTGATCCAGCATTTTTTCACCACGTTCTGTAATTGTTCTGTAACAGTTATATCCAGGGCCACTACGTGGCATAACTTTGGGGGGCGCCCTTCACATCACGTCTTTATGATGCTGCCCCTGTAGTTGTGCGGTGCACAGCCTGTACAGCTGCATGTGGCAGATCTCACCGGATCTCCCAAGAGCAGAGAGAATAAGCTGCCTGGTCCCATTTGTACCTGCTCTGTAGGTGTGGCAGTGGTGCCTGTGGGCTGGCAGGCAGCCCTGGAGAATGGGGCGGCAGACACCAGGCTTTTGAGGCTGGGGAGCGTGGCTGGGTGGGAGCCTCAGGCTCCACAAAGCTCCTGAGCCACCTGATGGGCAATCTACAGCTCTGACCCGAAGCACAGGAGGCCCACGGCTGGTCTAGTCCTGGGGCTCTATACTGTGCTTGGTTGACTCTGCAGAGCTCTACTCTTGCTTCCTTGGGGAGGGGACGGTGTCTTCTTACAATCCCCCTCCTTCCAGTACCAATGTCTTCAATTTAGGAAAGACAGTGGTAGAAATTCTGCATCTCCAGAGCTCATGTGAGGGACCCAGTGGAGTGGGGTAAGAGAGCACTGCATATAGAAATCTGGGAGGATGACTCTTCTGGGGTCAGTCCAGCCCTGGGCAGGACCCCTGTGTCTCGCTGGCACAGTCGGGGCAGCCCAGTGGGTTGGGGCCCATGCCATGGCTGCAGACAGGGGGGCTCTCGGCAGGGCTGGCAGCAGCAGGAAGAGAGGCCCCTTCAGAATGGTCCAGTCCCACTGGCACTTGGGCTTGGCTGGGGTCAAGAGATGTGGCTGCTTTGGGGGTGTCTCCCAAGGGGGATGTGGGATCTCGGGTTTGCCCATCCTGGTTGGTGGTCTTATCCGATGAGGAGGGCGCTGCTGCCTGGTGAGGCCCCTCTTGGGGCAGGCTGCCTGGGGCCAGCAAGAGCCCCTTCTTGTCCCAGCCTGGCTTGGTGTGGATGCCCACGGCCTTCAGGATGACGTCCATCTGCCTGGCGTAGTCCAAGTGGCCGCTGACCTGTAGGAGGACAGTGAGTGAGGACCACGGGTGGCGGGCAGACCCCAGTCCTCCCCAGGGCTCCTGGGCCTCTCCCTCCGCATCTTCACCAACCAGTCACCAATGCCATGACTCCAACCCTCAATGATTCTCAAGTCCAGAGTGGGTGGGAAGCCTCTGGGTTCAAAGCTGCTCTAAAATTTCTTAAATAAAGATGGAGGAAGCTTCTTTACAGAATCTGGGTCCTCTGGGGGCAGGAAAGATCCTCCTGTTACAGTTGGAGTGGAAGTTCCCGTTCTCTGCCTGCAGCTTTAGGTTATAGCAGAAGGGCTCTGTGGATCACCAGCTGTGGGACCTTGGACAAGCCCCTGTATGCCTCTGACCTCCATTTGCCTCAGCTGTAAAATGGGGACAGTAAGAGTAGTTACATCAGAGGGCTGCTGTGAGGGTTCCTCCAGGAAAAAGCCCCCAAATCTAAAATAGAACTATGGCTAGAAAGATTGCCAGGTACTTTCTACGATCCACTCTCCCCCCTTTCCCTTAGTCATAAGAACTCCAATTTATAGCTGGGTACATTCTCCAGCCTCCCTTGCTGCTAAGTGTGCTACGGTGATGAGTTCTGGCCAATGACATGAAGCAGCAGTCTTATGCGGCGCTCCTTGGAATTCTCTTTAAAAGGGGGAGTGCTTCGCTTTTCCCCTTATTTCCTCTTTCTTGCTGGCTGGAATTCAGACAGGATGGCCAGAGCTGTGGCAGCCACCATGAGCCATGAGTTGGCTCACTAAGGATGGCAGAATAGCAAGACAGGGAATTTTGGCCCCTGAAGGCTATGGAGCCACCAGCCCTGAACTGCCTTTTCTAGCCTTTGCCTATGGGACAGCATCACCTCTTGTGTGTTTAAGCCACTTCATCTGGGCCTTTATTATGGATGGAATCTTCACTAAGACAGGGGTCAAGAACTCAGAAGTGCCCACCCCCTTCTTGAGAGAAGAGAGACTCCCCTATTTTTGTGTTGGCATATATCAGTGACTGAAAAATAGGGGTGTGATTGGAGTGCCCGATGCCTAACTGTGAAAATGGACAATGGTCGACACACAGTAGGTCCTTAATACATTGTAGGAAATGAGTTTATTGAATATACTCCCTTGACAGGTACTGGCTGCTAACTGGAGGTGAAGAAACTGAGGCAGAGAGGTAAAGTGACCTGCCCAAGGTCACCCAGGTGTCAGAGCTGGGGTCTGAATCCAGGCCTGTTCACTTCATAGAAGATCAGGTGTGTGGTGGGGAAGATTTTAAAAATCATTTTCATTTTACAGATGAGAAAAGAGAAACCCAGAGAGGGCTGGTGGTTTGCTTAACGACACACAGCATGTGAAAAGCACAGCCGTGTGCTGTGCTTGAGACGCTGAGAGCAGAGGCTGCTTCGCTCAAATCTCCTCCCTGAGATGGAGCCTTGCGCTCTCCCCAGCCAGCCTAGGGTGCCTGCTTTAGTGCCAAAGGCAAGCACAAGACAGAACAGTCCTTCAAGGCTGAAGAGGAAGGTTTTTGTCTAAAAAGGAGACAATAAAGCACTGGGGAGGCTTGTGCTGGGGAGTTGAGGAAGCAACACAAAGGCTTGGCTGGTAACACCTGCATTTCCATTCGAATCACAAATCACACCGGGTTATTCCAATGACTTTGCAAGAACACAAAAGACAATTCCCTGTACAGTTTTGTTATTTTCTCATAACCTGCTTACTTCTTGTTCTTTTCTTTACAACCACTTTTAAAGAGTGTTCAGTGAAAACACACACATGTATACAACACGGAAGAGGCTTTTCAGATCCCTGGGTTCAGGGTGGAGGTCAAGGTAGGGCAGCATCTTTCCATAGCGGGTGGACATTAGTGGCTGCATGGCGCTAGAAAGAACCTAAGTTTGGAATCAGAGACATGGGGGTTCCAGACTTGGCTCTGTCTCTTTCTAGTAACTGGGTGAGTCTGTACAACGTCCTGAGACCCAGCTTCCACATCTGTAAAATGAGGATCATGACACCTCATACCTTGAATGTCTGCTATGAGAGTTCCAAGGGCCTGGGACTTTGTGGGAAATATTCTGTTCTGTATATGACCCCAAACACTTTTATAGGGACATTACACAATTAGGGTTAGTGATACCCATCACGTGGGGTTGGTGGGAAGAAATAATACAAACCACAAGGCACAGCACCTGGTACACAGTAGGTGCTCCTTAAATATGAGTTTCTTTTAATTTAATTTTCTTGGAAGGAGGGATAGAAGGTAGGGAGTGAGCTAGGCAGATCCATTCAGGAACCCAAAATGGCTGCTGAAGCTCTAGCCATCACATCTGAATTCGGGCCAGCAGAAACCTAGACCCACAGGGACAAACAAGGATGGCCTCCCTATACCTTTTTAATGTTGGTGAAGGGCTGGTACTAGGGCTGGGTGGAGGCAGGCAGGACAGGAAGGGAGGGAGGTGTTTATGGCTACTGGCTACAGCTGATTCCAGATGGAAATTCCACTGTGCAGCTGCCCTAGAATGCATAGCTCTGGACCTTCTTGGCTACAAGTTGGTCCAGGTCTCAGCCAACCCTAGTCCCTGATCTGCCATTCTGCAAAGACCCAGAGGCAGAACTGGCTGGCAGAGTTCCAATTGTACGGGTAGCCAGAGGGATGGGAGAGCAGGAGTGAGGTGGACAGGAAAAGAATCCCTTCTGAGCAGTGGAACATTCTGGCGTGGTTGATGCTGGATAAAGATTTCAGCCCAAGACCATCTCCCTGGCTGTCTAGATTGAAATCTGCCACCTGTCCAGATATGCTGGATGTCCCTGGTGCTGAGAAGCCTCCCTGACCTTCCCACGCTGGTCACGGACACTTCCTGGGGCTCCCCTGCAACAGGACTCACTACACACCATCGTCTTCATCTGCTTGCATCTGTCTGTGTCCTGATAGACTGTGTGAGCTGAGGAAGTGCACACCTCTATCTCACCTCTACTCCCCACATACAGCCCTGTACGCTGTGGGGGCTCAGGGTAACCAGATCCACACAGGATGAATAGGCCTCAGCGCTTCTGGTTTCCTGCCTTGCAAGACACCTTGACTTACCCAAACCAAAGCTGCTGCCACCTGTCTCTGCCTGGTCAACAATTTCCAAGCCTATCAGGCCCCCTGGGCTTCCTTTACCTCTTGGGCCTCAGTTTCCTCCTCTGTAAAATGGGGCTAATAAAGATACGTACACCATACACCGTGTGGGCTGGTTGTGAGGATTCAACGAGATAATACACGTCACAGGCTTATTGGCCCAGAGTTGGAGGTAACTGACTGGAAGCCACAGAGATGCATGAATGCAGACAGTGTGAATGCACTGGTTAAGAGCCCAGGCTCTGAGGTAGGTTCCCTAGTTCATCTGGCTCTGCCACTCACATGCAGTGTCCCTTCCTGCGGCCTCAGTTTCTATACCTGTACAACGGGGTTATTATCCCTACTTCATGGGACAGCTATGGGGATCAAGTGACATAAGGTCTGTAAACCATGCAGAGCAGTGTCTGGCATGCTGGCTATTGTTGTTATTATTGTTATTATTACTGAATGTCTATTGTGTGCCAAGCCCTGTGCTAAGCTCTAGAAGCCAGCTGGTGTTCTTTTGGGACACCAAGACTCCAGAGACCCTGGGCTGGGTCTCTGCCCCCACAAGAAACCTCGTGATGTGGCCCCCGGGATGGCAGAAACCCCCACCCGCTGCAACCCAGTCCCCACACAGGAGAGCCTGAAAGGTGGGCAGGCAGCCTGGCCTCTGTCTGCTCCGTTCACCAGAGATGCCCTCTGCCTGCGACAGGGCCTGACCCTGGCTCACTCCTGCTCAGGCTTGTCCTGAGATCAGGAGCCACCGCAGACCACGTTTGTGTCCGGTGGCTGACGCTGGGATGAGGCTCAGAGGGCTCTGCCCACGTCAGCCTGGCAGGGAGAAGGAAATTCTCCTGTAGAAGGTCCTGTAGGTTTCTGCTCCGAGCACAGGGCAGCCAGTGCTTCGCAACAGCAGTCACGAGGACTCTTTTGCCAGCAACCTCTCTTCCAGCAAGAATTTTCAAGGAAAAGAGGAGGGCAGCACAAAGGCAATGCTAATTACCTCCAATTACCCAGAAGAGGAAAGCACTGCTTTTTGTGATGTGCTCCTAATGCGATAAAGAGCTATTGTTAGGCAGGAGCTGGGAAGCTGCCATGAAGGCAGTCTGAGTGGGGAGAGGAGTCTCTGAAGCTGTGGTCCCAGAGGCAGAACTGAAGGTGGACACAGGGGCAGGAGACGCGGGAACCAGCATTGAACGAGGGCCTACTGTGCACCAACCATCTCGCATGTGCTCTGGAAGATAGAAACTATCTTTCAGGGGCTTTGTAGCATTTAAAGGAAATTTTCATTTGAAAGGAACGTTCAGCCATTCCTTTTCACATTTGATTCTTGTGGCAGAGGAAGACCCCTGGAGTGGTGAGGCATCAAGTCACTTCTCCCCTTCACCCCATCAGGGTACAGGGACCTTCAAACAGGACAGAGACCCCTGGACATGGGCCAGGAAGCATCACTGAGTCCTGCTGTTTCCTGGTCTTGTTACCCAGGTTTCCTCACTCCCACAGGGAGGTGTACAGCACAGGCTCTGGACCTGGTTTCAGAGACCAGATCTATGGCTCTCTGGCTACATTGAATCTTATTCTCTCAAGCCTCAGCTTTCCAGTCTGTGACTTGGGGATGCCCGATACCCACTGTACAGGATTGCTGTGAGACTGACATCACGTGAAGCAAGTCTATCAGGGATAAAGATGATCTAAGGAGATGGCTCTAGGGCGTGAAGTTCATGTCTGTCCTGGGAAGACTGCCTCGTGAATTAGGAGTGATAAGTTTCATGGGTGGATGAGTCTAGAAACTCTTCTTATTCTTGGACCGATACCAGCCCCCAAAGCTGCCGGTCAGGAAGGCACGGGACTGCTTAACTCGCGTTGTCTGGTGGGTCAGGACTTGTGAGCTAGGGCCCTGGGAGTCTGGGGGAGTGAAGATATAAGCCAGGACAAACTGGCCCCAGTGACATGGTGGCAGGCTGGGTGGGAGGCCCAGGGGACCTCGGGGCAAGGTCACGGCCCACGAGCTTCAGTGGCAGCAGTGCCCGATAACGTTCTGGTTTTAAGTTTTTGCGCTAGAATCCCCCTGTGCTCTCTTCAACCCTCAGTCAAGTTTCAATAAGCATACAACTCAGCATTAGCTGTGCTGGTGGGGGTGGGTCAGGGTGCCCGGCTTCCCCTACCACGAGGTGCAGTGTGTGTGCGTGCGTGTGTGCGTGTGCGTGCATGTGTGCATGCGTGTGTGCGTGCATGCGTGTGTGTGTGCGTGTGTGTGTCGTTGGGCCAGGCTGCTGTTGAAGCTGAAGGGAGAAGCCAGGGTCCTCCGGGGTGCCCCTCCCCAGGGGAGTTTTTAGATGCCCAGGGAGGGGCCTGGACTGTCTGCTTTCAGGCAGGATGGTGCGGCTGGCTCAAATTACTTATGTGGTACCTGGGGAAATTGGGTTACGCTCAGGAAGTGCTTGGTACTTGATAAATGGCAGCCGGCAATGTAATAATTGGAAAACAAAGTTCCTGTTCTCGTGAACCTTGCAACACGGGAATTTTCATTGGCTGAGTTTGCTTGGGGATATAACTGCAGATCAGTATATCCTCATCTTCCTGGCAACTGGAACCTCTCCCACTGGTTCTCATATCTACCCAACCAGGGGCGATGCCCAGTGGCTTCCGTGCTGCTCAGCCATGTCCCTGCTCTGTAAGCCTGGGCAAGTCCCTTAGCCTCTCAAAGCCTCAGGGTCCTCATCTGTACAGTGGGGATACGGATACTGCAAAAGGTTTAGGGCAGAGCTGGGCATCAAGTGAGTGTCCACACATGAAGCTATTATTAACTCCCTATGACAGACATGTGGTGGGTGGACGAGGTTCCTTCAAGCCTGAAAATGGCTCTAGAAACTCAAATTAGGTTTGTGTAGCTGCTGGGGTGGGCTCCCTCGCATTCCATTCCCAGCAAGAATTCTTTTCATTGTCTGCCCTGCCTAGTCTGAGATGTGTAAGAATCCTTGGGGAGTATGTTTAAAATGCAGACTTTCAGGCTCCACTTCCTAGAGACTGATTTAGGAGGTCTGGGTAGTGGGGCTCTGGGACCTGCATTTTAAATAAACTCTCCAGATGATTCCAAGGTGGGGGACCTGGGAACACACTTTCCCTGCTCTGTATTCCACGGTTTCACAGCCCGGAAATTGGGTGCTTCTGCTCTGGTCCAGCCTGAATGCCTCCACTTGTGTCCTCTGGTTGTTTTCATTACTTCCAGGAGAAACAGACTGTCCTGACTAGTAATGTCGGCTGGGGGAGTGAGTGGGGGCAGTGGGAGGAGGAGCGGGGAGGCGTAGTGGGAGGGCAGTAATATAGGGGCAAGAGCATGGGCTCTGGAGGTTCAAATCCAGGCTATTAGTTGCTAGTTGTGTGATGGGAACTTTTCTAAGTCTCAGTTTCCTAATCTGTGAAATGCCGATAATAGTGCCCACCCCAGAGGCCTGGGGACAATGCCCCAGCACAAGGATGGTGCCCGTGAACAGGAGTTACCTCTTCCCAAGTGAATTCTCATGATCTCCCTCCTCTGGGGTGGACTGAGCCCGGGCCAGTGTCCCTGGGACCTGGGTTGCTGGGCTGGAGTAACGAAGTGCCCACCCCTCCAGCCCCAGGAGGGACAGGTGATACTCACCATGGAGGACAGGTCCACGTTCTCCACCCTCTTGTCCTGCAGCAGCACGGGCTGTAGGCCGGCCACTCGGAGCTTCACGGAGGACGTGCGGTAGACAAAGCTCAAAAGCCAGTCCCCACTGTGGGCAGAGAGGACGGAGTGAGAAGGGGCGGACGTCAGCCTCAGGAGGGCCCTGCCTGGCCCCGGGGGAGCCTGGTGGGATGGGAGCTTCTGTGGGAAACCAGGGCCCCGCTGCACCCGTGTATGATGGTGGGAGCTGCAGCCACTGGCATTTCGGGGGCGTTGCCCAGGGCGTGGCAGCTCCAGGGAGGCTGCTTTGTTTCCTGCTGGGCCCCCAGAGCAGAGAACAGCGCTGGCCTGGCTGGCAATAGACGAATATCTGTTGAGTGAGTGAATGAGGAAGCTGGATGAAGCTCTCCACAGTCTGCATGTGGCTGGGTGAGCTGCTCTCAGCTGGGGAGGGTTTCCAGTTCCCAGGGTGGGGGGTGGAGGCTGGTCCAGGGCTCCCTGGGAGACAAAAGAAAGGCAGCAGGGCATCTGCCTGGGGGAGGGGACCACGGGGAGCTGGGGCCACCGTGCTCTGTGGCTTGGAACTCTGGGTCTGGGCCCCCATCTGTTTTTGAGCTGGAGGGACCAGCTGTGCCTTCTGAGACAGGCCTGGCCCGGCCTGCAGCTCTCCCTGCCCTCAGCCACCTAGGAGGTGAGCGCGGCCCCCCGAGGCAGGTCACAGCCCTGGAACACTCCTCCACTCTCATGGCTGCTGTGAACACCACGCCCTGCCCCCTGCCCCCCATCCAGACATAAACCCTGCACTCTGGCAAGGAGATAACCCCGGACACTCTGTGGCCCGATTCTTCAGGTACCCCGAGCACTGTCCACGGGAGACAGTGGTCTGCGGGGTCCATGGGACAGCCTTGCCCCTCGAACCCCTGTGCCCTGTCCGGGGTGAAGCTGGGCCCTTCCCTCAGCAAGTCCATGCACGTGGACGCCTCTGTTCCCCCTCTGCCTCCAGGGCTGAGACCCCACTTAGCACACTGGGTGTCTTTTGTTTAGACCGAGTCCAACTCCGGTTGCAGGGCCATTTAAGCCCATCGTTTTTGTGCGCTTGTGTGAAAGAAGGGCCCTCCCTCCCCGCATGTGCAGGGGAATGTGCTGAGGGTCAGGAGTCCCCAGCCTGCCTGCGTGACCCTCTGTGCCCACAGGCGAGGCCCCAAAGCTGTCTGGGACCCAGGGTGTTGTGGGCTCTCCAGGCCTGACCCTCTGGGATCTCTGGGTGCCTGTGTGGTTACCACTCTGGAAGCCTCTAGAAGGCTGGGGTCCAGAGTTGAGGGGCTCTCAACAGACCTTCCTGCTGTGCCCCACCCTGAGCTCATCAGCCTGTGACTCCTTCTCTGAATCGTCCACCAGGTCCCTCGAGCAGAAGCCAGCAAAGCCATGTCCTAGGCCTCCCTTCCCGCCATGGCCAACTTATCACGGAATCCTGCAGATTTGTACTACCTGCCCCTACTCCCCAGTCCCCCAAAACCCATCCCTTCTGCTCCAGCCCTGAGATCAGGCAACTCCCTGCCCAGCCCCCCACAGACCAAAGGAACGGCCTCCTCCTCACTCCTGGCCTCACCTCTCTCGAGCCACTGGGGTCTTCCTTCAACTCTCATCCGACCATGGCCCTCTCCTCTCAGAAGCCAACCTTGACTCTCCACTACCCACAGGCCTTCTTTTCTAGAAAATTCCCTAACTGCCAGAGAGCAATGTTTGCACGTCGCAATGGTTATCCTAATATTGAAGGCCCAAGAAACACTGTCCCTCAGAATGATGGCTAAGGGGAGAAGAAAGGAGACTGACTCAAGTTGTTTTATTAACTAATCGTGAGGCTTACATGCATCCAATACGGGGTGTGAGGGAGGCCCCTATACGGTTCTGACATAGAAAGCAAAGGAGCAAAGTCAGGATTGTTCCTTCCCAACGATCCGTCTTAATCATGACAACACTCCACTTACAATGTTAAATGCACTTATTCATACACATGCAGGGGCAGGACAGGAACATGTGTTAGAAGGTTCCACATCCTCAAAACTGTGCTAAGCAAACCACAGGGCCTTTGCTGGCATTCCAGACTCTCTGCGCCCAGCATCTGCCTCTTTTGCCTGGGGTGGGCCACGAGCCCACCCTCGGGGCCACACTTGCCAGTCCCACCCTGTCAGTTACCAGCTGTGTGACCTTGGGCAAGTTGCTTGACCCCTCTGAGCCTCAGTCTCCTCGCTGTAACCTACCTTCCGGGGCGGGCAGGAGCGTGCACAGAGATGGCACATCGTGTACCCAGTGCTCACACACGTAAGTGCTCACAAGGCACTGGGTACGATGATACCTCCCGCTCTGGGCCTTCGTGGGCAGTGTGGCCTCTCTCCTGCTCGGCCTACTCTTCCAGGCTCTGATGGGCTCCTATCCATCTTTTCAAAATTCAGCTTGCATGTCACCTCTCCAGGGAGTGCCCCTGAGCCCTTCCACTTGATAGTATTAATCCTTTGTCCCTCATGTGACTGCTGTATGCTCCTCTTGTGACCTTTGTTACATGTCCTCCGTGTGTCCATTCCTGGGTCTTTTCTTTTTCTGGGCAGAGAGCTTGTTGAGGGCAGGACTGTGCCTTAGTGCTGCATCCTGTATCCTGAGCAGAATCAGGAACTCCCTTGGGGGTGGGAGGTGGGTGCAGTGCCCAGCAAGCCAGGCGTCAATGGCCCGCCAGGCCAGGCGGATGCATACAACTGAACCTTGATTCACATCGCATGATCTGTTGAAGGGTGTGCCGTGGCTGCTCACAGGCCTGGCACCACTTGTGGGCAGGGGTCCTCCCCGCTCCTTCTACCATTATCCCCGCCCCACACAGTACTGGAGCAGAGACCACACAGGGAGTCCCCCGGGGGCTCAGAACAAAACCCTCTCATTGCAGATATCCCAACTATCAGGGAGACAGTTTCACCTGAGTTCACATCCTGGCTCTGCTGTGTGACCCTCTCTGAGCTTCAGTTTCCTCACAGTATAATAGGGAGCAGAACCACTCGCCCGGTCGGCTTCCAGGGGGTTTGTGAAAGCCCAAGCAAGTTAACAAACTTGCAAAGAGCTTTATTAATGTACATGATAAATTTATAAACGTATATAGTGTGGGAGTGTTGGCCTGAAGCTCCCCCCAGCCCCTCGTTCCACTCCCAGTCTTTAAGTAGGTTTACGGCAACTAAAACACCTTTGGGGGCCAAGAATATGAATTCCTGGCCGGTGCTTAATTTAATCAAGAAATTACAGTTATTGTTTCGGTCTGTGCATTCCTTCCTCCTCCTCTCCCCCTCCTCCTCCTTCTCTCTGGAGAGACGGCTCAGGATCTCACAAAATAATGGAAAACCAAACTTATTAGCCTCAGGTTCTCAACAGAACAGATGGATTTAATAAGATTTTGCTGCTTTCATATTGCACACATGCAATTTTAATTCTTTCCCTTTGCTATTTATGAAAGCATCAAAAAAATCGTGTGCTGCGAATATGCCCAGTAATAATAATGATAACCGCTATCGCTTATTGGGCACGTATAAAGCGCCAGCCTTCATCTTACACAATCTCATTTAATCTCAGAACCCCTGTGCAGGAGGGACTGTTATTCCCATTTTATAGGTAGGAATACTGAGCTTCGGATTTGTTTGTCCAAAGCCACCTGAGCGGTAAATGGTGGAGCCAGGATTTTAACTGAGGGCTGTCTGACATCAATGTTGTGGCCATTCCTTCTCTTTGCTTGTTTTTAATTCATTAATCTATTTATTTTTAAAGATTTTTTATTGGAGCAGAGTTGATTTACAATTTGTGTCAGTTTCTGCTCTACGGCAAAGTGAATCAGCTACACATATACATGTATCCACTCTTTCTTAGATTCTTCTCCCATACAGGCCATTACAGAGTATTGAGTAGAGTTCCCTGTGCTATACAGTAGGCCCTTATTAGTTACCTATTTTATCTAGAGTAGTGTGTATATGTCAATCCCAATCTCCCAATTTATCCCTCCCCCAACCCCTTACCCGCTGGTAACCGTAAGTTTATTTTCTACATCTGTAACTCTATTTCTGTTTTGTAGATAAATTCATTTGTACCCCTTTTTCAGATTCCACATATAAGCAATATCTTCATTCAGTATGACAATCTCTAGGTCCATCTATGTTGCTGCAAATGGCATTACTTTGTTCTTTTTTATGGCTGAGTAATACTCCGTTGCATATATGTACCATATCTTCTTTATCCATTCTTCTGTTGATGAACATTTAGGTTGCTTCCATGTCCTGCCTACTGTAAATAGTGCTGCTATGGACATTAGGATGCTCTTTTCTTATTTTTTAAACTGTCCTTACTTAAAAAATTAAAGTCTCTTTTATTAATAAATAAATAAATAAATAAATAAATAAATATATATATACACACACACACACACATAACTGAATCACTTTGTTGTATACCTGAAACCAACGCAATGTTGTAAATCAACTACATATCAATTAAAAAAAAGTCTCTTTTAAGCCCTACCTACAATCCCTGTCCACTCTTTAGAGGTGACCACTGTTATTAGTTTCTCATGGTCCCTCTGGACCTGCCTGTCCATTTTCAGACATACAGATACATATATGCACACGCAGAAACGTTCTCCTTCGTAAATGGGATCATAGTACGTATTGTCGCACTTGCTTTTTTCCCCCTTAACTGTTCCCCTCTTTGCGGTCATTCAGGTTGTTTTAAATTTTTAATTATAAATGAAGCTGCAAGGATCCCCTTTGTGCATCCATCTCTGTGCATGTATCTAGTATAGCAGGATGATAGAAGTCAGAATCTGTGGGATCAGAAGATTGGCACATTAAAAATTTGGATAGATATTGCCAACTATCCTCCACTGAATTCAACTGCCACCAACAGTGTATGACAGTGCCCATTTCTCCACATCTTCACCAACACCGAATGTTATTCATGTTTCAGATGTTCAATAATCTGATGGATGATAAATAGTATTTTACTGATTTTAGTTTGCATTTATTTCACTAATAATGAGGTTGGGTACATTTTCAAAAGTTTATTGACTGTATTTATTCCATGTTTATGTGTAGATATCCTTTGGCCATTTTCTTTCTTTTTATTTTTTAATTTTTTAGGCTGCACCATGAGGCACGTGGGATCTTAGTTCCTTGATCAGGGTTTGAACCAGTGCCCCCTGCATTGGGAACATGGAATCTTAACCACTGGACTGCCAGGGAAGTCCCTGGCCATTTTCTAATTTTTGTTTATTTATTTATTTTTGGCTGTGCCAGGTCTTCGTTGCAGCATGTGAAATCTTGAGTTGTGGCATGCAGACTTCTTAGTTGCAGTATGCATGTGGGATCTAGCTCCCCGACCAGGGATTGAACCCGGACCCCCTGCATTGGGAGATAGGGAGTCCTAACCGCTTGACCACCAGGGAAGTCCCTCTGGCCATTTTTCTTATTAGATTTTTTTTCTTATTGATTTGCATGAGCTCTTTGTCTTTGTTTCTTTGTTCTTTCTACCATATCCTGATTCTAAGAACCCAGCTTAGAATATGAGTGATAAAGCCATACTGATTGGCTGAACTCCCGTGTCCCGGTTAATGCCCTCTATCCATGGCTAAAGACGATCTTTATCTTTAGCTCTGAACTAGACATGGACTAAATTATCAAAATGATAAAGCCTTTCCAAATCTCTTCTATTAAGTTGCAGGTTCTACTTGGGATGGTTGGGCTTAGATCAAAATTAAAGTTAACTGGCCTTGTGACTTAACTTCTCTGAGCCTCAGTTTCCTCACTTGTAAGATGGGATGGGATTAATAATACAAACCCCTTAGGGTTTGGGGCATGATTAACGGAGAAAATGACAAAAGAGACAGGATCTGGCAGGTGGTAAGAGTCTAATACTTGTCATATCCACTCCCCCATCACTGCATTATTGCATTTTTCATGGGTTTTTTTGAATAACTGTCTGTTTCCATATGTGTCTTTTCTGCTAGACATGAACTCCTCTTGTTCATCTTTGTAGCCCCACGTCCAGCAGAACGTCTTGGGCATGTATGTTGGATGATTCTGAGTTGCCCTTAACCTCAGGCTGGAGCCTCTCCCTCCTCCCACCCTGACATATATTCCTTAGACTCAGGAACCCAGCACTTTCCTCTTTCTCTAGGCTTTGCCTTTCAAATGATCTCACCTGTCCTTCTGGCTTCAGCTGAAGCTGACATCCCACTGGCCCTCGCTCCAGTTTGCATCTCTCTCAGTTCCAGCGCTGCATCTCCAGCCACCCTGCTGGACACTTCATGTTCACAGCCCCGTGAGTCAGCCGCTTCCCCAAGTCTCACCTCCTGTCGCTAAACGAGTGTGCACCACACTTGGGGAAAAGCCTTTGGTTTCAGAGCTTCTGGATTTTGGTGTCGCAGACAAGCTTCCGTATGCCTGCCTGGAGCTGCCTGTTTCCTGCCTATTTGCGCTGCTGAGTGCGAGGTTGCACAGGGCTAGGTGGGGGCTTGTACCTGTTGAGGTTCCAGCTAGTGCCTGGCACGAGGTTGGCGCTTTGATGCTGCTGCTGATAAACGGTAACACCATCTGTCACTCACGGAGCAGGCACCCACCATGGGCAACTCTGTAAATTGCTGGACTATCATCGTAACCCTGGGGGGAGTCACTACTATTATCCCCCCTTCACTGATGGAGAAACTGAGGTCAATGTTAAGACCCAGGTCTGTGCGATTCCAAATCCCTATTCTCGTGTTTATGCTGTCACCTCCCTCCTTTGCCTCATTTGGAGGCTGAAGGGCCCGGGCATCTTCTCAGGCCAATCTCCTGAGGTCTCAGCGGGGGCCTTCATTTCTCTTCTTCCCCAGAGTCCAGGGCACGGCTTTGGCTGAAACCTCTCAAGTCCTTCTCAAAGCCAAGCCCAGGGATGCCTCCTTTCCAGCCCCACAGCTGTCAGTCTTCACAGCCCCCCTCTCTTGCAGGAGGGTCTGTCGTGTGGTGTGGGTGCTGGCTCCCCCATGGCTGTCAGCCCTGCCCCAAGACAGTGCTCTGAAAGCTCAGCCTGGACACTCCCCGCTCCCTTTCTGCGCTGCCAGATAACCCACACACGAGCTCCTCAGTCGGCATTCAAAGACCCCCCATTTAGGGCCCAATCTTTGCTTTTCAGTATCATCCCACTCACCCTCTTCCCCCGATCACGGTGACCAGCCTGGCCTCTCGTGTCATCCTGTAAACTGGTCTCAGGCCCAACGCAGGGAAATCTTTCTTAGGATCCGTCCCTGATGTGCATCATCCTATGGGGATGGATGCTGCCCAGGTCAGAACACCTGGCCCGGGCCTTGCTTCTAGTAGGGCTGGTGTCCTACTGGTCCCTGGGATCCTCCAGGACAAAGGCCTGGCCTCCCAACATCTGTGTCCTGGGCACAGGGCCTGGGCACACTAGGTGCTCAGTAAGCACTGTCACCTCCTCACAGGCACAAGGTTTGGACAGACCTGCAGTAGCCATTGATGATCCTTCCAGATACCACCTTCCGGAAAGGCTCCCAGTGCTTGGCTTCTCCTTCCACGGGCGCGCCCAGCAGGACAACGTCTTCGATGATCCCTTGGCAATCTGGAGAGAGACCCCGGAAATGACTGTCAGCACCCCCGGCCACAGCGGGTCCTGAGAGCGACTCTCCAATGGTGGTGAAGGAAATGGATGTCACGTACACACGCACACACGTGCATTTGCACACCCACACTCATGCAGACATGCACACATATGCTCAGGCACCTGCACAAACACATTCGTGCACACAAACACATTCGTGCCCACAAACACACACATGCCCACACAGTACGGTGGCTTCCATTTACTGAGTTCCAGGCCCTCCAGTGCCCGATCTATTCCTGCAATGCATCATCATCCCCATTTCAGAGTTAAGGAAAACCAAAGACATTTTCAAGATCACATGGCCAGTAAGTGGCACAGCCCAAATCGGGACCCAGGTCTATTTCCGCCCTCCATGAAGCTCGCAACTGGCCGTGGACTCAGATGCGGTGTCTCCCTTTGGAAGGGACTGATGGCCCCTAGCGCATGGCACGTGCCAGGCAGGAGACACCACAGCCTTCCCCTGCAATTGGTTCTCGGGGGTCTGTACAGCCTGGCGGGAAGGTGGGAGTGGAGAGGAGAGGGGGGCTCAGGATCCTGGGACACGGAGTACACGCAGCAGCTGCACTGACCTAGTGGTTCAGAGTATTTTAGTCCAGGGCTCCTCTGAGCGCAGCTCGTGGATGAGGGCTGGCCTGTGGGCTGTCTGTCTTGTAAGTATAGAGCAGCAAAGCAGCGTTTCTTTGATCTCCTTGCAGACTGGAAACCAACAGCTCACACATGGGAGTGCAGACCGCACTTTGAGAAGCACGGCTCTAGATCCCGGGGGGTGCACGTGCACCTCCACCCCCAGTCACCCCCTGACCCGGCTCTATTTTTCTTCTTGTCACACCTCACTTGTTTACGTCTGTCTCCTCCTCTAATATCTGGGTTCAGGGAGGGCGGGGCTCCGGCTGCCTTGGTCACAGCTGTATAGGACTGTGCCTAGTCTATACATGGGGCTCAGTAAAGGTGTGAATGAATGAGTGAGTCAATACACTGCCATCCCCTGGGACAGCCAGGATATGTGCTTTGCAGTTGCAAAGCCCTGGGTTCAAATCCCGGCTCAGTGACTTCTGAGACAAGTCACTTAACTTCTCTGAGCCTACAGGTGGCTATGGTACTGCCTTGGTGGTCTTTATGGGAAGGAAATCATGGTGGGGAAAACCCCAGCGTAGTGAACACACAGTGGAAGCCAGTGTCTCCCCGCCCCGTCCCCTGTGCTGTGCCCCTGCCTCTCCTCAGGTTCTGAGCCCCCCCCCCCAAGTTTGGGCAGCAGCATGATCTGTGTCATTCCTGGGGAGTGGGCCCCGGAGGGACAGCTCAGCTAGTCCCACCACTCTCTCTTGCTGAGGGACACAGGACAGGTGGCTTCCTCTCTCTGGGCTCCGGTTTCAAACCAGAGTGCGTCTAACTGTTTTCCGCTTGGGCTGTTGTGTGAGTTTGTCTGAGTAAACGGTTCCAGGCTAACAGGAGTTTGAGAACCCCTGTGCTCCTCTGGCCCTGAGTTATAAGATTCCAGGGCACAGAATTCTGATTTCACTCCTCTGCTTTCAGGGATAGGATAATCTGGCAGAAGGATGGAAAACTTCAGGAAGCTGGTAGTTTGTGTTGAATTGCAAGGATGACTCAGATAGTGTTTGATGTAAGGGCTATTTCAGGTGCTTATGCTGTTGGCAAGGCTGTAGCTCTGATTCTGACCCCTTCTCTCGGCAGATGAGGAAACACGGAGTCTCAGCGGGGATGGGGCATGCCCACCGTCACACAGGTAGTGAGAATACAGCTGGGCCCAGAACCCCGGCACGGGGAGCTGTCGGGGCCTGGGGCCATTCTCTCTGCTGTTTACGGGTAACAACTCAAAGCACAGCGATCACAGGTGGGTTATCATTGCTCCCACGGTGCCAAACGACTGTGGGCCCAGGGTCAACGACTGAGCTTAGCAGCTCTCTCTGGACGCCGGCCACTCAGGGCACCTGCCCTGTCCCCCAGAATCTCTCCATCTGAGGAGCTGGGACAGCTTTGCAGCCCTGGGTGCCGACGCCTGGAGGGCTGGGACCTCCTTGTGGCCAGCAGGGGAACTGCAGCATTTCCTATCAGGTTACCCTGAGCAACTGTCAGGATCCTGTGACTAGCGATCAGACAGGTGTTATTATAAGCAAACAAAGGTAGGTGTCTTTTGCTGAGCTGAGACTAGTCGCTGAATCTCACAAAACAGTCCAGAACACAGTCAAACCAAGTCAGGGTACGTGGAGAGCTGGAAACACATTTACGTATCTCTGAAGCCTGGCTTTAAACTGCCTTTCTAGACCTCTTCCCCTTTATCCAGAGCCTGCCACAGTCAGATGTGCCTGTCTTATGTTTTAAAAGATGATTTGCTCTCTAGGAGGTTGCATACCTAGAGACAAGCCACGTGGCAGGCTCTTGGTAATGCACAGGTGTTAGCTTAAAGAAAGTTGGTGAGAATCATTTTAGACCCACCCAAGGGAGAATCCTGTACTGTTCCCGGAATGAGACGGTCCAGGAGGGGAAACCTGAGTTAGGAAAACTGGCTGCTGAAGTAGATGCTGGAGAAAAAATGTCAAAATTCACTGTTTGGTCCAAAACCTTATAATACCAGAAGATTTCAGCCTTCCAGGTAAAATACAGAGAATCCTCACTCAGGTACCACTTTTAGTGTCAAGCAGTCCCCTTTCATGGGCACAGATGATCCGTCACATCATGACATGAGTTCAGAGCAGAATACCCCCGCTTTTCAAGACCAACACAAGAAACTGGCATTTAACATTTTAATAATAACGAACATAAGATGACCTCACTGTCTTTTTCCTGCAGGGACCACGAATGTTTGCTGAAACATGTTGGGATTTATTCCTATATTGCTACCACCAACTTCTCTTCTTGTGAATTTTTAAGGTGTTAAGATACAGTTCCATAGTTTTATAAATAGTCAGGGATCCAAGGTGCATCAGTCACCTTCAAGTTCAGGACTCAAGTTCAGGTTCAGCTTTTGGGCTTGGATTGCTCATTTTTTAAACAGTCTTGTGTATGTTATTAATATAGTACTTTTACTGTTGAAGCTGGAGGCCTTTCATTCTTATGCCTTTGGCATTAAGGAGGCTCCATCCCTGGGGCAATTAAAAAGAAAAGCTTTATTAGTCCTGTCTTTATCCCTCCACTTTCAGTCCTTTTTTTCACTCACGTATGGTGAGAAACATTACCTTCCCACACTGTCTTTGCTTTTACCTCTTATTTTCATTCCTTTTTTTTTGGCCACACCCTGTGGCTTGTGGGATCTTACTTCCTGACCAGGGATTGAACCTGGGACCATGGCAGTGAAAGCGCTGAGTCCTAACCACTGGACTGCCAGGGAAGTCCCTCTTTTTTTAAATTCTTAACACAGGACCCAAAGAGATCCCTTTAAAATTTGAGTCATAGGCATGAGGTACCTTTTGGGGCTGCTGGAAATGTTCTACAGCTGGGTCGTAGTGATGGTTTGTACAACTCTGCACATTCGCTAAAAATCACTGAATTGTACACTTAAAATGGGGGGGGGGATTGTGTAATATGTAAATGACACTGCCGGAAAGTCAGATCATTTCACTCCTGTGCTCAAAACTCTCCTGTGGGATCCATCTCTCGTGGAGTCAGAGTTAAAAGTCATTTCAACAGCCCTCGAAGCCCTGCGTGACCTTCCCCACACTTCCCCCTTGCTCACTCTCTTCCAGCCATACTGGCCTTGCTGTTCCAGAACATGCCAGGCCTTTCTCTCTCTCCTCCTGATACGCTTCCCTCCAACATCCACAAGCCTCACCCCCCGACCTGCTCCTTCACCTCTTTGTTGAACTGCCACCCTCCAAAGGGAGGAAGATGCAACCTCCCACCCCTACCAGGTGCCCCATCTCCCTTCTCTGATTCATTTTTCTCCATAGCACTTGAGACCATCTGACTTACTACCTATTTTGCTTTTACAGTCTCTCCTAGGACCTGTCTCCTCCTACACGTGAGCTCCTCAAGGGTTGAGAGTGTTCTTTTTTGTGTTCCCCAGGGAATCCCCAGTACCTAGAACAGCAACTGGCACAGATGCTCTGCTCAGTAAGTATTTGTGGGATGAATGAAAGCAAGCTGTGGCACTCAGCAACCCTTCACATTGAGAATACACGCAAAAAGTTTATTGTTTAAATTTTTAAAATTTTCCTCCCGGTATAACTTCTTCCGAGAGGCTCTAGTTGAGAATCTCTGTAGACTCGATAAAAGCAAATGGAGAGTGCTGACTTGGCTGAAAGTAAACGGGAGAGTATTTAACCAGGGTTCTCAGCTCTTCAATTGCTGGTTTCCAGAGCTCTGCTCCAGGGGAACAGATGCTACTGTGACTGACTGCGGTCTGCAGTGGGCAAGAATAATGACCGGTCCTTCCAAAGCTGACTCTGCCTCAGTCTCCTCTGCTGGCTTCCCACAATGTGACCCAGAGGCTCATGATGACCCTCCCAAGAAGCACCCGACATCACCTGTATTAACAAAAATCCCTTGGGCTTGGCCTACATAATAAGAAGGCTCAGGGTCTCCAGACCCTTCAGATGATTCATGGTACAGCTCAGGGTGCCCCATCTTTGGGGGCAAAGATCCAGCAACTTCGAGGGCCTAAGAAACTACACAATTGCAAACTGCTGTCTTCCAATTAAATGTCTCCTGTCTCACACAGCAGGTGTCATGATTCTAAGACTGTATCAGATGCTGTTGCAACTCTCAGAATTCCTGGATACAAGCAGTTTTTGGTCATTACATACTTTTTCCACCAGGAGATGCTGAAAGTGTGATGACTGCCATATGCAGGGCTGTGAAGTGTTTGCCATTAGAAAGGGCTCAGGTTCAAAAAGGCTGGGAATCACCAGTCCAGGGGAAGTGGCTTGACCTTTGGCACAAGAGAAATCTGTGTTCAAATCTTGGTTTTACGTGAACTGAAGTCAGTTATTTAATAACTTGGA